TGAGGCTCCTTGTCGCGGAGCCGAACGGGTTTTCTCCTCCCAGGGCACTGCTGTTAGGAGCGCTTCCATAGAGAGATGACCACACAGGTAAATACAACCGCAGCGCTGGCTAAACTAATGGCTTGGTGGGTTTTTTAGGCTGCTCATACGTAATATTAATTATTTTTTCTTTCTAGTACGGTATTCTCTTCAAGCAAGAGCAAGGTGAGAGAGCACTAACGTGTGTTAAGTCACACTGGCCTCCTGGGGTGTTGTAACGCTGGTAATGGCAGGGGGACTGTGAGATGGAGTGTGTTTATATTCAGTATAAATCTGAATCGCTCAAACATAGCTGTGCTGTTTTTTCTGTGGTGATCTCGGTGAACAAAATCCCTCGCGTGTCTCAAAACAATGAAAACAGTGACAGGGCTGTCAGAGCAAGGGGCTATTTGTCAGCACCACAAGTGGCAGTGTTAGCGTTAACAAATCTGGTAGTTGTGTTCCATCAGAAGAAACCACTTAATGGCTATGCTTATATTCTTTTTTAGCTCACGATGATGCCATCTGGTCGGTTGCCTGGGGAAAAAATCAAAAAGATGGTTCTGAAACAGTGATCTCTGGTTCTTTGGATGATTTAGTGAAGGTCTGGAAGTGGTAAGTGAAGTGCTCCATATTAACCAGTGTTAGGCCTTGTAAGTAGTTAGTATGGAGAAACAGCAGCCTTGAATTTCCATAATCCGCAGGGATCTTATAAGTTCCATCAGGGAAGGGGTAGCCTGGCACACAGAATCATTCTCCTGAGCAAACGTGCCTTCATTGGTGGGTGCTTTCTCTTGGAGTGGTAGCATTCTGATGTGCTTTGATTTTCAAAGAATGTGAACCCTTTGAAAATGCACATCAGATTTTGCATGTCATCTGCCAGAGAATAGTACAATTTGACGTATTTCTAAACCAAAGAATTAGAAATTTTTTGAGACAATGCATTGAGAGCATGTGTACTATGAAAGGAATAATGGGAGTAGAGTACGAGAGGAAATAACATCTTCCTTTTTTATTTAAAAAAAAAAATCTTCATGACACTGAAGGGTGTTTTTGTAAATAAATTGTTCTGTCTCTTAGCCAAAGCAGTATTAAGTATATGCTTCACTTTAATTACACGAGTAGCTCTGTTGTGGTAACTATAAAACTCTCGGTCATTGCTGACAGATGAAGAGCCTGCTGTGTAAGTACCCACGTACTGATGTGCAATGGAAATTTCAGTGGGACTGCTTACAAACTTAAGATGAAGTACATGCTTTGCAGAAATCTGGTAAATGGTTGATTTGTTGGTTCTTTCGCTTAAGTACAGAGAGCAATTTTTGCACAGGTACCTTCACATTTCATGAGTGAAGTTCGATTCCCCGTTTGCTGAACAAAATGGAGAGATGTGGAATGTCTTGTTTGTTTTGTCTGCAGTTGGAGATCAGTTAAGTACCTCCAGCTACTCATAATTAGGCTTTTCTTTCCTTTTAACAAAAGGAACGATGAAAAACTGGATCTACAGTGGACTTTGGAGGGCCACCAGCTGGGCGTGGTGTCTGTGGATATCAGCCACACGGGCGCCATTGCAGCATCCAGCTCCCTAGATGCCCATATTCGCCTTTGGGATTTGGAGACTGGCAAACAGATCAAGTCAATAGATGCTGGCCCTGGTAAGGTGTCACTATTAAGCTGTCTCTGCGTCCAAAGTGTACTTACTCTCAATAGTAAATATTGCACAGTGTATAATTAGAGTATACGAGATTACTAGTTTGTTGGGGTATTTTTAATCTTTCTTTGTTTGCAAAAGTTCTAGTGATTTTTATGAACTTGACATAATGTAATCTCAGACAATTGTACATTTATGTTTTCACATTACTTGCACTTCCTTAGATACATTTTGGTATGCTTTTTGCTAGTGCATAAAGCAGGATGGAAACCAGCTTGCTTTTACAGATGTAGTGATAAAAGGATATTTAAAAAAATTATTCAAATGCTTATTCAAATTGATTTACAAAGAAAGTCTGAACTCTCTTCATAAGCACTGCACTGAGCTGAATTTGAGCCATACAGGTGATGCTTATTTATGCCATACATCCAAGCCTGAGGGAGCAAGTCAAAACACAGTAAAGCTGAAGTCTGGATCAACATTATGTCCTCCGAGTTGGAATTCAGGGCCTAAGATCTTATTCTAAATATTTCATTGGTCCACTGGCAATCCTCAATTTAAGAACCATCTTGCGGTTTTTTAGGTAATTAATATTAAGGTTGTAGAAAAAACCTGTGAATTACGTTGTGTCAGATAAATGCATTGTACTGCTATGAAAAGGTAATGTTTTTAAATTCCCTTGCAAGGAATGTTGATCCATGTTACATTGGTATATCTGTGTTTCTCCTGTGCCTTCTGTGCTTTGCTAGATACTAGCGTTGGTTTCTTTCAGTGGTTTAATATCTTTTGGTACCAGGAGAAAAGTAAGAATTTAGATTTGACTCAAGCAGTCTTAATTCTAAATTTACTGTTACAGGAGGGTCTAATAAGCTCTTACTAGAAGATGTAATCTTTCACTAAGCAGAAATCAATGGCTCAAGCTATGCTCCTTTAATTACACAGAAGGAAGTGACCTTTCATGAGCTTGGACGCTCTTCTTAAAAGTATGTAGTAGAGTTTAGAGTATTAAGAGTAGTTAGGGGTTTAAACGTCTAAATAGATGCACACAGAACTGACATTGTTGAATAGGAACTAGAAGTGGTATTCAGCTAACTGATTATTTCTTTTTAATATAGTTGACGCCTGGTCCCTGGCTTTTTCACCTGATTCCCAGTACCTTGCAACAGGAAGTCATGTGGGAAAAGTAAATATTTTTGGTGTTGAAACCGGAAAGAAAGAATACTCTCTGGACACCAGAGGAAAGTTCATCCTTAGCATTGCATATGTAAGAAGCACAATTGATCATTTCTTATGTGAAATTGCTATTACTGTAATATATGGCAAATCAGATATTTTTGTTTCCATCTATCAGTTTATCTCTACATAATTCTAAACGACAGCCATACTTTGATACCTCCAAATATAAACTGCATGACATTTCCCCCCTCACATATATGGAAAATACAGTTTGATCTTGCTTATTCACATATTGTGAGTAACTCATCTGAAGTCATAGAATCATAGAATCATTGAATCATCAAGGCTGGAAAAGACCTCAAGGATCATCAAGTCCAACCATCAACCCAACACCACCTCACCCACTAAACCATGTCCCGAAGCACCACATCTACACGTTCCTTGACCCCCTCCAGGGATGGTGACTCCACCACTTCCCTGGGCAGCCTGTTCCAATGCCTGATCACTCTGTCAGTGAAGACATTTTTTCTAATATCCAGCCTAAACCTCCCCGGGCGCAACTTGAGGCCATTTCCTCTTGTCCCATCACTCGTTACTTTAGAGAAGAGGCAGCACACCCCTCACTACAACCTCCTTTCGGGTAGTTGTAGAGAGTGATGAGGTCTCAGGATTTTTGGAGCCCCGGTATCTTATATAGATCATATTTGTAACAAGTTGCCAGGAGAATGTGAGGGAGGTACATAGCATAAATGCATATGGTTGTTAAATGCATACTTCTTGTGTTTTATTACAGAGTCCAGATGGAAAATACTTAGCCAGTGGAGCGATAGATGGCATTATCAATATTTTTGATATTGCAACTGGAAAACTTCTGCATACGCTAGAAGGTAATGGCTTGTGAATTTGCAGTGCCCAAGTTCTGGCTTCATTCCTAAACAAAACTAAAGGCTGTAACAAAAGTCAGAATAAGATGCAACAGCCACAGCATAAGTTGATGTTTCTGTCCATTAGTCAGTATTTAGTTATTTAGTGTGCTGTAACTTAAACCACTTAAAATTTTAGAGGCAAACTGTAAACTCAGGCTTGCATCATAAGTGCTTATCTCAAAAGATACAGTCAGTAATGCTTAACTGAATTTTGAAATTGCAGTTCCTTCTTGTATTGTAGTGCAGTACAAGGGAATGAAGCTAAGACAAATCTGTTCTGCCATGTGTATGATTTTTTCTTTTTTGTTGTGGTATTAGTTTTAATAGCAATTGATTCCTGGTTTAGAAAATAACCAAACATTTTACATTGTAGAAGACGTGTATTTTTCTAACAGATAAATGGGCTTTTAATGTTCATGCAGTTTCTGCCCAGTTGCATAGTTAATCAGAAAAACCAACCACTTAATATGAAATCATATTAGAAAATAGAACGTAATTTCTAATAAAGATCCACAGCTGAAAAAATAAAATATTTTTGTGTACCAGTGGACATGCCTTAACATTCAAAGTTCAGAATTACTGTCAGTTTCCATTTTATGTTGTGCAAAGAAGCCTGTAGAGGCACAGAGAGAAAGATCTTTCAGAGGTTCCTTTCTTTTACCAGGGCGTGCTGCTCTGGTTTCGCTCTTAAGCGCTGTCATTAATAAGAGGAATAGCTACATTCTAAGCCATGTATAACTTGAATTTCAGGTCATGCAATGCCTATTCGTTCACTGACATTTTCCCCAGACTCTCAGTTACTTGTAACAGCTTCAGATGACGGCTATATCAAAATCTACGATGTGTAAGTTGTTATTTTTCAAGATATGCTAACAGGAAAATGTATCAAACCCTGTGCTCTCGGTAATTCCCTTCAACTTTTGGTGACTTCTTTATGCAATAAATAATCTTAAAATAATAAAATAACCTTAGATCGTTTTTTAAAAGTGAATAGGTAGATGACAGCCTTAACTTGAAAACAAATTACTTTCCTGATATTTGGCCCTGTAGGCAACAGGCTAATTGCTTTGTATATCTGTCCTGTGTGTTTGTGTTTACCCATCTTAAACATCTATTCTGTACCCAAGAAATTATATTTATGGCCTATTTCTGTCACATTGTGCAAAAACTTGGAAGATCCTGGGGAGGAAAAGGCACCAGTTCAGCCATCTTCACTCCCCTGAACCTGCATTGCTTTGCCTTCTTCATGGTGAAACTTTTGTCCACCAATGTATCTTCTTCGTGATTTCTTTTTACGTTAACCATTTGAAATGGAAAAAGAGAATCTGTTGTTAACAACAGTTTAGCTTGGATGAACAAATGTCCGGAAGTGACCTTCCATGACTTTGCATGGAACCATTCCTGACTGCACTAGCTAGAGTATAATTCTGTTGCTTTTTCCCTGGAATTCACAAACCAAATGTTAAAATTCTGTGTTTTCTAAAATTTGTTGTTTCCACAGGCAACATGCAAACTTGGCTGGGACATTAAGTGGACATGGATCCTGGGTATTAAATGTAGCGTTTTGTCCTGATGATACCCATTTTGTTTCCAGGTATTGAGGATTTTTAACCTGTTTATGCTTACTGAAAGATAACTAAATGTAACTGTGCATTTATAAAACAAGATGGATCACAAAAAGTGTTTACAAATTGCAAGGGAATCTATAATGGAATAACACATTGCAATTAAAGACTCAAGACCCAATCTGTGATGTGATGCCAGCGGCAGTGAATAGTGTGTTTATTGTGTAAGTCATCCCACTGCAGTGTAGTTCCCTACAAGTGAAGGGCATCCAAACTGCAGAGAGGGGCAATTTGATTCTAAATAGCTGAAAAGTTGCTGTTGAATTAAAAAGTACAACCTAGTATAATAGTATGTTAATCTAGTTGGACTTTAGTGTTAACTCTCAACAGGCAACCCACTATATGTAACGGGAGTTTCTTTATCCAAAGAACTTCTAAAGAATTTTCTGGCTAAAACAGGAGCCCTCGTTTTTGTGTTGCAGATATTGGAACAGTAAATGTATTTTAAAGGTAACTGGAACCTGGCACAAGGTGCACTCCTTTGTTACTTGATCCCTGTATTTGAAGGGTGAAAATGGGTTTCTTATGTCTACCGTATGAGATCTTTTAAGCTTTGCACTGAACAACAGTTAAATCTATTAATTTAAACATTGGCGCGATACTGTTTTTCTTCCAGCTCATCTGATAAAAGCGTCAAAGTTTGGGATGCTGGGACAAGAACCTGCGTTCACACTTTCTTTGACCACCAAGATCAGGTATGTCTACTGCTTTGCCGAGGTCACTGCGGTCACAGCAGAACTTCAGTTGTGTGGTTGTGCACATTGTGTTTCAGGTTGGTGCTGCAGCTTTGGGGTTTGACTTCAGCTTGCTGTAATGAAATGTTAAAACTTGTTCGTTATTATTTGGCACTTAATATTCAACTAATGTTCCAAGTGTGTAGGTTGATCCTTCCAAGTAATTTAATTTTTTCAGGTCTGAGTAAGGGCAATTCTGAGTGGCCAAAAGGATTTTTTCCAGACTGTATTTTGTATCTCTGTCTATGGTCTTATTTCTATCACTTACACAGTGTGTGCTGCTGCCAATAGTCCTTTTGCAATCCCACCTTAACGTACTGGGTAGCCTTCACTTTTCCTGATGTCATCCTGACAATGGGGACAGGGGTTGCTTATGAATTTGTATAACTGACCTAAGTTTAAGTCAGAGGACTGACCTCGATTTTTCTAAGTTTTACACTGATAAGAAAATGCCTCTTAATTAGCCCGAAGATAAACCAGATCATTCTTCAGTCTGTCATGGTGTGTCAGTCTGCATCAGAAGTACTTCTCTCACTTCCCTGAAAGCACTGTAAAATACCCTTTTCAGAAAGGAAGACGGGATGGGTAAGAGTGAAAAAGTTAGGTTTCCTTTATGCAACTGGGGCAGGTACTTTTCAACCTTTATCAAGTATCTTTAGATTGTGTAATGCGTTGTCAATAGAAGTAGAATGTAAGGACATGTCAGGCTACTAGACATCAGTGTCTTTTTCTGGGTCATCAACCTCATCTGCTGTTAAAGCAGGAGCCAGAGTTGGCTAATAAGGGGATCTTAAATAATCCTCCCTCTTCTGCTTGTAGTCAATATTAATACAACTGTTGTGAAGGCTTTTTTTTGTTCTCCTCTTGATAAGCTTGTATGTGATCTAATTGCAGGTTTGGGGAGTGAAATACAATGGAAGTGGGTCCAAAATTGTATCTGTTGGAGATGATCAAGAAATTCATATTTATGACTGTCCTGTTTAAATGTCTCAAACTCTTGGAGCAGTTTTTAGGAATATTGCTGTCCTTCCATGTATTTTTTTTAATACTATAAAAGCATTTCAGTGATGCTGATCTGCAAAATCAGATGTTTATATGTAATTTTGTTTAGCATGAGAGAAAGCTTTACTTTTTTTTTTTAAATAAAAGCTACAGCTGCAAGTAACTGGTGTCTAATCCTTAGAAGAATGTATTTTTGGAAATATGTAGTCAGGGGCAAAGTAACTGCGCAGTTAATCTCCCCTGCCTTTACACATAAATAGACTAGAGCTGCAAAGTGTTGACCAAGTTTAACAGCAGCTTATTTTAGGAAAAGTGAGTGAGGCTATGTATTGTATGCATGGGAAATGATAGCCCAGGCTGAGCTTGATGCAATAGGGTCACTTAAGTTGAACAGCTGTTATGGCAATTGTACAGTGGCATGAAGCTCATGCATCATGGTTTAATTTCACTAAAGGGTGCTGTCTCCAACCCTGACTTAATTCAAACTCTACTAGAAAACAGATAAAAGGAAAGAAGGTTTAATGCAATCATTCCACTATGGCATCTTGTCATGGTATAAAACAGCAGCACTATACCCAAGGCAGGTGGTTTTGGTTTATTCATCTTTAAGGCTCACATACACAACACCAAGGAGGAAGTAAAAACCCTTTCTAGGGAAAGCTGAAACATAGAGCTGGAGCTTCTGAAAAACCATGTTTTATTTGCCAGTATTTTCCTGTATGGAAATTAGAAGTGTGTAGGATACACTATCCCCCTTCAAAGGATACCTTATAACCCTCAGTTACATGTACACAGAACAAAGCAGCTGAAGGAATGCTACTCTAATACAACACAGGGAAGAGGGTTATTATGGAAAGAGAGGAGCATGCACAAAATGAGACAGCTACTAGTGTTCCACTAACCAAGTTGAACATGGAGAACAATGTAGACATGGTGACAGAGTCTGAGCTTAGAGAAACTTAAAGGGAGGTCTGGAGGTGCTTAGAAAGTACCAGAGAAGCATGATAAAATGTGAAGAGTTCTATTTATTAGAAGTTATTTCTGCTATGTTTTATTCTATGAAATTAATTTTCCAGTATGAAAGTATTTACATAAGACACTCCACTTAGCCTCTATCAATATTGCCAAAGTCTTATATAAACAGCATAGGTGAAATAAAGTGAGAACCTTCACAGCAAAGGAAAATGTATGCCAACTCAGTTGGTTCTCAGCTGTGTGACATTTGCTTTATATAGAAAGACTACAAGAACACAATATAAATTAGTTACAAAAAGGTGATACTGACAGCGCAGCAACTCAATTTGCTGAACACAAAAACCACAAGCAGTGGCTATTACAGCCATGCAGTTTTCATTGTGAAAATTTACATTTTAGATGACATCCATTCCACCTTGCTTTAAGATGTCTGACATTGTACTCCTGTTCTTGGACCCTCCTCATCTTCTTCATATGCTTCTCCCCCACTGTTACGGTAGGTTTGCTCATTTGGATCAAAATCTTCAAGGTCTACCTGATCCATCTCATCTGTAATCATAACATCTTCTCGGGGAGGAAGCAGAGCCTCCAGCAGACTGAGTTTCTCTCTTGGGAGCCAGCAGTGCTCTGGGAACTGGACCTATAATTTTTTTTATGAATAATTACTCCAGATGCCAACACATATATTTTTGCTACAGAAAAGCAAGCAGTCAACTTACCAAAAATTGTATAATTAGGGTGCCTTTGTCCATTGGAGATTTGTAGATAGGCATCCCTTCGTTGTAGATACACTTTAGGTCACCATGTTTTATCACTTCACCTACACAGAAGTAAGAGCTGTAAGTACACGGACATGACAGACATTTCGTAACTATGAAAAGCAGGGTTATACACAGGCAGTGTTCCCAACAGCATCTGAGGGACACCACTAAGCACCTCCTAGAACAGCTGCAGACTGAAAAGTACTAAAACCAAGCTATACAGAAGTAAGGCCATTTAGGCTATTTCCTCTCCTCTCAGAGAACTGGCTTCTCTAGCACAGCCTTCAGGCTGAATTAACATATAGCCTAGTAGACTTGATGTTTCTGGCCTCTTGAGTACTTTCCTGGCTATTCCACCAACTGAGGCTGCAGTTTATTAAGAAGCATTTGACAGCTTTATTTAACTCTCCATGTGATGTTTTAGGAGGAGTGACAAGAATGACAAAGAACCAGCTACATTAAATAACTGCAAGCGTAGTTAGATCTGTTGCATCAACTGGTTAAAAAAAAAAGCAAACAAATCCCCATCCAGGCACAATGCAACAGGCAAGCAGTTTACATAGCATCAGAACTCCAAGACCTACCTGGCCTAGATGATATGACAAGAACTCTGTTATCCAGAGTTTCAATGGTCTTTCTGAAACCACATAAAGCCTCCGAGAGTTGAATTCTCATTTTTGTGATTAAGTCATGCCCTCGCCTCTGAAAGACACTGTGATCCTTTTGATCAAGCACAATTATAACATCACCAGGCTCCAGATCAGGCTCCTGGTCACCTTCTCCATGAAATACTATCTTCTGACCATCTTTCATACCTGGAGAAAAGAAACACATTTATTCTCTGCAGAACAATAGATTATGATTAGGGACACAGAACAAATATACAGTTCTTACCTTTATCAACATGAACTTCTATGATCTTTTTCTCTCTTACAACCTTACAGCCATTGCAGTTGTCACACCTGTCCTTTGGGTTTATTCTTTCACCTTGGCCTTTGCATTCTGGGCACACAGTTTGGATTTGTTGTACCATGCCAGGTCCGATCTGCTGAACTATAACTTGCATTCCTCTTCCTTTACACACAGGGCACTTCTCTACTGCCCCTCTCTTTCCGCCATAACCTTTGACAAAAAAGTTAAATCTAATCTCAGTCTCAAAAAACAGAAGTTGCCCAACAGTAGTCAGGCCAGAACTCACTCACTTCAAGAGCACCTTTAGGGCTACTTAGGAGTAGTTCAGCAATATTTTACCAACGCAATTGGAATTTAGTTTCCATCACAAAACATGCCCCACAAGTTAGAAGTTTCTACAAGCAAAAGAAAGTGAAGTTTTCTATGGACAACCTATTTTAGCCTCTGCCCCACCTCCCAATACATCTTGGTTTTCAAAGAACTGTCAGCATATTGACTCCAAGACCTAGACATTCCATTAATACTTTGGAAAGCATCTCCTTGCTAAATTTTTAATAAAATACTAAGATAAAATACCTCATTAAGATTTACTTCAAAGACAACCAATCATTATGGATGCTTAATAGCTGTAAAATGAGTAGTGTAATAAAAGCTAGACTTCTACCCACAGCAATTAAAAAAAAAAAAAAGTTGAATGGAACAGCCACCTATTGAAGTTCCAGATTAAGATATTTTTAGTTTAAGTACCCTTAACTATAATTCACAGGGAGTTTATGTCTGCCATTAGAACAGTAACTTTCTACCATTATATTTAAGAGACCTTGTTTCTTGGGTAAGCATAAATAAGGGCAGACTTTCAGCAGGGGGGCAGAAAAAATGAGAAAAAAAAATTTAAAAAACCCCCAAACCCCCCACACTTTATCCTCAGCACAGCCCCCCAGTACTCTTTAAAAAAAAAAAAAAAAGCTTGGAGGGGTTTGAAGCCACTACTTGTTCTTTTACCTTCACACTTTGCACAAATAACATTCTTTTGGAGTGCCAGTTTCCTTGTAACACCATTATATAAGTCTTCAAGAGATACACCTAACTGGTGCACAACATTTTTGCCTTTAAAAAAAACAAAAGAGGAAAAATTAATCCTGGTTCAGCTGTTGCAAGAAAGCTTTTTTAAAAGGCTTCTACAGTTTTTCATACATGCACAGTCTCACTGAAGAAATGTAAAGTTAATTCCAAACTCTCAACACAGCTCAGCCCCCTTAAAGCATTCAGTGCAGTTCATCAGCTTCCACTGAGCTGCACCCACTTATGTCAGAACATAAAATTTAGCTGTAATTGAACAAAGCATCATTAAAAGCCACCCTATCCCTGCTCCTACCCCTAATTTTATAAGCTTAACTGAAACAGCAAGATGCAAGGACACTACCAGCTTCAGGTCTAGTCAATTTAAAAGTTGATATTATGCCTACCTATAAAATTCCATGCCATTTTATAGCATAATTTCAATTATTTTACAGCAGGCTACTACTTGGTCCTTCATTGGACATTGGGCATGGAAAAAGACAAAAAAAAAATATCATACTGTGCTTTTGGCAGCACTCTGTACTCCGTTTCACATAATTTCCCCAAATATTTTCATGGGGTTTAACAGTACTTAAGTTGATGGTGTCCTTCAAAGCAAGCTGCCTAAAGTGTATGAGCAAGTGAAGCACAGATCAGGAAAAAAGGTAAACTTAAACTGCTTAATCTATTGATGTTTCCCCCTCCCCTACAGATCACCCACACCCACTTGAACAAAAAACAAACTCACTCATCAGAAAGATTGCTATGGCTACATGTTATCTACTTTACTAGAATCTTAATACTAGAGTAACTAAAAAAAGAAGTCATAGTTTACTTAATCTATTGTTGCAACGAGTAACATCCACACTATGTGCACTTAGCAAAACAGCAGTATCATACCACAGGTGTTTGATGCTTAAGTGCATGGTTAGTTTCTAGAACTTGTTTAGAACTGTGTACCTCTTCTCTCTCTATTCATTCGGCCTCCACCACCAAAGAACATGTCAAAGATGTCCATGGGTGAAGAGAAGCTGCCGCCACTCAGGCCTCCTTCTTTAATAGCCTGCTCCCCACCCTGGTCATAGAGGTCCCTTTTCTTTGGGTCCGACAGAACTTCATATGCCTGGGATATGAGCTTAAACTAAAAAGAAAAAAGAAGCTCTGAACAACTATGACCAAGAGGAAAAGTAACCCTCTCATATGCAACTCCATCTTCAGATGGAGCCAATACAGCACTTGCTTGTAGCATGTCTTTTTCCAAAAGGAAACTCCCTGAACAAATGCGTAATAGACTATAATAGTACACTTTTTTCCAGGAAACCATCCCTTTTCTCCCTCTCCCCCCTCCTCCCATGTTAAAAGTGGGCTTAATTCAGAGTCACATTCAGCTTACAACCATATCCAAAGTATTCTTTGATGACTGTGGTAGTTGCAACCATGATACACCTCTAA